GATCAATGCCCAATTTTGAAGGGGTAGAGAAGACAGTGACTTGGGAAAGCCTTCCCCTTGGCGTTCCCTAATGCTCCCCGCCTGCATCAGCCAGCAGCACCTTTGAAATAGTAATAAAGGCTAAATCCGGCATAAAATCGAACTCATTAGCAAAGTTCACCAGCTGATTGCTTTGCATAAAACACGACACTGATTGGAAGTAATTAGGTTAAGAAACGGCGCTCAAGTGGTGCGCATCTCTAGCTTGGCTTTGCCCTCTTTTCTCCCTTCTGGGCACACACTGGGTCTCTCTTCTCTTTTCTCCAGGGTCCAGCATCCCCCAAGCATCCCTCATCAGTGATCCAAATCTGCATTCCCCGTCAGGGCCGGGTTCCCCGGGGCTTCCAGCCTAATTATGGTTTTCCCCTGGCACATTGTAGAACCTTTCATTCCCCACCTCGAAAAAAGTTGCAGTTGAACCTTTTGACCAAGGCAATGGACAGTTTATTGAAGCTTCTAAAAAGTAATGAGTGGCTCTGATTATGTTAAAATCTCTTTTAATTAAATATTTTGCATTTTACAAAGGCGGCTGCAGTTTCTTTTACTTTTTAAATCTAAGAGTATAACCTGTTACCTTTCTGCAATAATACTTTAGCTCATACCCAGAAAAAAATCAATAGGTGTAAAAAATTAAATTAAACTTGTATTTTTAAACTATGAAACAGTTTGGAGAGAAACACAAATGTATATATTTATATTACAAAAAAACATTAAATGCCTATACAGGTGTCTTGATTTCATAATTTACTTCAAAGATATTGAATTATCAATTTAAATACAAAAATGCTACATTAAATATACAGAATAAGATTTAATACAAATCCTTTTTTTAGTTTTTCTTTTCGGTTGGCTAAGACATTTTTTTCTGTGTGGAGATGTTCACATTTTTATGTCATTCATCTCCATAAACTATAAACTTCTGAATAGGAAGGGTCGTTTATTATTTTTCTCTCTGTCTCTCTCGGTGACGGAAAAATAACTGCCAAGGCCATGTTTTTAATAAATTAGGAAAGTCCGGGAACGACGCATCCCGCGTTAAATGTCGGACATACCTTTCTTCAATTCATAAGGAGAGTCTTTGCAGAGGTCTAGCTGAGACTGGCTCCGCAACATTTTCGGGTCTTTAGCCAAAGCGTCCGCTCGATTCAACACGGTCTGGTTTAATCCATTGAAATGAGAGCCCGGACCGGTAGTGGGGCCTGGCCCGGGCCCGGGGTGGCCATGAAGGTGTCCGAAGGATCCATAGTTCGTGTAGCCGGGATAGAAGGGTGCAGTGTAGTAGAGGGGCCGAGACAGCACGGTTCCGCCCGGGAAAGGACACTGCGCCGAGGGCGAGCGCGAAGGCGCCGGGGCCGGGGACCCGCGGCTCCCTCCTAGGGCTTGCCCCGCTGCGGGGCCGGGGCACGGCGGGCACGGAGAGCCCTCGCTCCCGCCGCCCCCGTCCTTGACCTTGTCCGAGGATGTGGCGATCTCGGCCAGAGACCACAGTTTGGGCTTGGCGAGCACCGCCGGCGGCGGCGGCGGTGGTGGCGAGTGGATGACCGAGGGCCCACCGGGACCTGGGGGCAGCTCTCCCACGGAGGGGTGCGGGCCCGGCGGCGGCGCGCCCGCCGGATAGTGAGGGGCCGGGTCCTCCGCCAGCCGCGCCGCGGCCGGCCCAGCCGGGGAGGGTCCGCCGGCGCGGGGGGGCCCGGGCAGCGCTTCCTGACGGCTCTCCGAGGGAGGCTCCTTAAAATCCGAGTCGCTGAGGCTGCCTTCAGTCTCCTTGCCGGTGGGAGTGGGCGGCCCCTGCAGCCTTTCACAGCCCGAAGCCCCCTTCTGCTCTGCTCCGCCTGTGGGCGAAACCCAGGCTGTCAGGGGTGCAGAGGTCACGCGGCTGGACCCGGGTTCCTGCCGGCCTGCTAGGCAGAGACCCTCGCCCCAACCTCTGGGTCCCGCGCGCGCCCCCTCCAGGCCCCCTTTTCCTTTTTTTTTTTTTTTTATTTTTTTTTTTAACTAGCTCGACATACCCTTTCCCGCATCCACCAACCTGCTTCCGGGCCCTCGGGGTCGCCCTTGTCCTCTGGCTTCTGGGGCTCATCCTCGTCATTCTTCTCCAGGTCAATATTCTCCTCTTCCTCCTCGTCTTCGCTGCGGTTCCTCGGTGTCCACGTCATCTTGTTCTCCTTCTTGAGGCGCCGGCGCGCGTTGGCGAACCAGGTGGACACCTGGGTGAGGGTCATCTTGGTGATGATGGCCAGCATGATCTTCTCGCCCTTGGTAGGGTAGGGGTTCTTGCGGTGCTCGTTGAGCCAGGCCTTGAGTGTGGCCGTGGCGTCCCTGGTGGCGTTCTTCCGGTACGCGGGGTCCCCATACGGGTAGGAGCCCAGTGGCGCCGCGTATGGGTGGTACCCCAAGGAGCCCGCCATGCCAGGCGTGTGGTCATAGGGAGAGCCCTGCAGGGGACAGGTAGAGAGAAGGTGAATGTGGTCCTCGGTCTCCACCATCACCTGAACGCCTGAAGCTCCATTTGCCCTGGGGTCTTCGGGCCAGAGGATGGGCGAGGCCAGCACCCCAGCTTCCCCTGGGGCAGGGCTGGCTGATTCAGACCCCAGAGCAACTCTTTCCCCTTATCAGAAGGCAGCCGGGACCCCAATTCCAGAGTCTGGTCCTTTGGGGACCCTTGATCTCTCCCAGCCTGGACGCCATCCTAGAGGCCCCCGTCTGCCCCGACCCAGGAACGTCGGTGTGCTGTGGGTAGATCTGGCCTCCGCGGCCCGGCCCTCTAACCAGATAGAGGCCTGGGCGGCAGAGCGCAAAGGTTGGGAGCAAGGGGCTAGAACGAGGGAAATCAAAGCTCGCTTTTCTTTTCTTTTAATCAGCTAAGAAACGCAAACGAAAAGCTGAATCTCACCCCGCTCGCCCACCCTCCAAAAACGCTACCCCAAACCGAAGCCACAGCGCTTTTCCAGAAAGTGCACCCGGCCGCAAAAAAATCCCGGATGCACCGCAGCTCCGTGGACTTTTCAGAAATTTAATACCTCCAAATCGGATTGCGAAGATAGGATTACAGATTTGCAACATTTTGGAGGATTAATTAAAGGCAAGGCCAAACACATTTACATAGATTTATCACACTTCTGTTCAGATTTCGGGTTTGTTTCTTTTGAACTTTTCCAAGATGGTAAAACCAAACACAAATAAATAAAAATTGTAGAGAGGCCCTGAGTTTATGTTTGAACCAAATGCTTCTCTTTAATTGCAAGGACCTCTCCCCCTTAAAACCCTTCCCGCCAGCTCAGCGATCAGTGAGAGACGCGGCTCTTTCCGAGCAACTCCTGAGTCTGAGGCCCGGGCGAAGCCGAGCCAGTCTGCCGCCCAAGTTTGTACCGGCCGCGAGGTTTGGTAGGGGTAGGGGGTCAGCAAGTGGCGCCTAGGCCCGGGTCCCTCGCAGCCCCCGCCTGCTCTCTGGGCCCCGATGGCCCTCGCCTCCGCGGATCGAGCCTACTCACCACGTACGAGGAGAAGGCGGCGGCAGCGGCTGCCGCGGGGTCGGCGCCGTACTGGAGGTGCGAGTTGTAGCCCGGCGAGGGCGCCGTGAAGGCGGTGGAGCCAGCGTAGGGCGAGAACGCAGAGCCCGAGGACGAGCGGCCGAGCTCATCCGTGCGGGGCCCCGAGATGACGCTGGTGCTGTACGCCGGGCACGAGTAGAGCGCCAGCGAGGCGGACGGCTGGTACAAGTAGCCCTGCGGGTAGGACATGGCCACACACGGGCATGGGGCGCGCCGCGCCGCGGCCGCCAACGAGCCGGGCGGCGCCCTGCGAGGGCGAGCGGGCGGGCACCTGGCCTCTGACTGCCCCGGACCGCCGCTCTTTGAGCCCAGTCTCCCGGGCTCCGGCCCGCGGCGCCTCCTCGCTGGCTTCCCGCGCGCGCCTCCGGCTGCGACCGCCGCGCCCGCTCCTCTGCGCACCTCGCTCGCCGGGCTTGGCTTTTTCCCCCCCCCCTCCCCTCCCTTGCTGCTTTCTCTTTGCACCGGGGGGCTCTGCTTTTGGCTTCGCAAAGGTCCTGCCAAGATGCTAAGTTGGAAATTGAGGATTCTGACGCCTTGTGCGCGCCCGAAGCTCCTCCTTCCCGGGGTGTAGTCGGTGGGAGGACTGGCAGGAGCCTCTGCGCGGCCGCAGCCAACCCGGCCGCCAGCCGCGCCTCGCCCTCTCCCTCTTCCTTCCCGGCTCCGTCTCCCGCTCGCTGGCGCTCCCCTCGCCCCTCCCTAGCGCCCGCCTCTCCTCCGCCGCCCCCCTCTCCCCCCTCTGCCCGACCTCCCCCTTCTCCCCTGCGCGGTCTCTCTCTCTCCTTCTCTCTTTCAGACTCTCGAGCGCCGGCCCCAGGATGACAATCACATCCCAAGCGCTCCGATCTCTTCCAACTTTCCTCCCCGGCTAACTCGGGGCAGGGCGGCGGTCTGGACTCGCAGCGGGCCCGATAGCGGGCCGGGCCACTCCGCCGCACAAAGGGAAAGAGGCAGCAGACCGTGCTTGGGTGGACGCTCAGCGCACTTCTCGCCACCACAGCTAATCGCACACTTAGCGGATCCCTTGTTCTCCGGAAGGCTGGGCTCCGAAGTGGCTGGTCGCCCACTCCCCACCGGCTTCTCCTTCAAGTCAGGGATCCCCGGGGCGAACTGGAGGTCCCCGGGAGGGCCGACGGAGGCCCGCACCCAGGGCGCAGGGAAACTCGGACTAAGGTCTCCTCTTCGCCACCGCAGCAGCAGGTGGGCGAGAGCCAGGCCTCCGGCGTCTGGAAGTCTCGGGCTTGGCTTTCCTTCCCCCACCCCTGTCCGACGGTGAAGAAGCTACTCTTGGGGCCCGGGACTGCCAGGGTGGCCTTTCTCTAGAGGAAAGGTAGGGGGTAGAACTGGCCGGCCCCGAAGCAGCTGCGCCCCAGTGGGTTTCCTCACCGCCCCCTCCCCCTCCCCCGTGGCTCAATGCCGCTCTTTGCGAGCTTCCTACGGGCGGCTCGCTCTGCGAGGTCCTTGGCGGAGGAGGGTCCGGGATCCCCTTCCCTTTTGTTCAATCAAGTCGCCGTCCTCTTCACAGGCACTCTCGCAACCGCCCAAGCTCCACTGCAAACAGTCGGCACAGCAGCGCCCAACCCAACCACTGTTTGTTCAGCGAGGCGCTGGCAAGGCAAACATACACCACTGAGTCACAGGCGGAGCTCTCACCCACCACGGCCACACAGTTAGAATACAAAACAGACCCTCTCCCTGTCTCGCCACCTCCCGCCGCCACAAGTCACTGACGCACTCGAAGTCTGGGAAAGATAGGGGCGCTGGTGAACCAGGGCAGGAGGCGGCAAGGTGTGGGGCAGTGGGTTAGCCAGAGCTGGGTCTATCCCGGACTCTGTAGCTTTTAGAGTGGGGCTGCACCCAGGGTGAAGCATAACTATATACAAAGTTTCTCGCGGAGTCTGACGCGCTGAACACACTTTACTTTCTGAGCTCCTACAGCTCAGCACATACTAGCTCACCCCCAACACTGGCACCCGCTGGGCGGCTCGGGCCCCACGCCCTCCAGATGACTCCTCCCCTCCGTCGCTCCCCTTCCATGTTCCGCCCCCTGAGCCGACTGACCCCTCCAGACTACATTCTCCGAGAACCTCTCGGCCCTCCGAGCCCTGTCCCTTATACTGCCCTCGCTTCTGATTGGACACTGGCATCTATTCTACCCGCCCCCTAGTGATGTCGGCAGGTTTGCAGCGGAGTCTCGGAGCCAAAGGGGCGGGGATGGGCGGGGCTTCGTCTGCGCTATTGTCATGGAGACGACAAGCCAGAGGCAGCGTTGGCTGGTCCTGCAGGCGGAGAAGGCTGCAAGCCCGCGGAGACAGGAGCGAGGCGGAGTGCCCTGGACGGCTGGAACGTGGAGAAACCATGGCGGCCGCTCCAGCTCACCCTCCTGGGCTCGTTGCTGGCCCAGGTCGTGGTGGGGAGCGCCCCGGAGCGTCCCCGCCCTGCTCCCTTGGCTCCCGCCTCCTGCGGCCGTGCAGCGCCTCCTCGCCCGCCCCCGGCTCCGCCCGCCGTCGCTACAGCTCCTCGCGCTAACGGTCGGTGGCAGCCCGCGTGCGCCGCCCTCCGGGGGCTCGCGCCTGCCACGAGGGAGCGTCCGCGGCCCGTGCGCCCAGCCGCAGAGGAGAGGTGAGCCCCGGCCGGGCCGCGTCCCCTGCCTGCCGCGCAGCCGGCCTCCGCGCGGGGACCGTCTCTGTGTCCCCTCGTGGGCCAGGAGGACGTGGCGCGGCCCGGTTTGTGGACTGCGGGAGTATCCGACCCGCCTCTGTGGGTGTCACCGGGTGTCGGCCGGCGCGCGTGGGCGTGTCCTCCCGGTCCACGCGTGTTCTCTCCATCACTGTCGCCTTTCGTTCGGGACGACGGTTTCAGAAATGGAGCCATGGAGGTTTGTGCTACCGAGAATCTGAATCTGTCACGCAGACATCCTCATTACATAATCTTGCCACTCCGGGCCACATGGCTATTTCTTCTCTCCCCCTTTCCCCACTACTCCACCCCCCACCCCCTTTTTTCCTTTTTGGTGTCAAGGACTGGCGAGAATCCTGCAAGATATTGAAGCATTTAGAATTTATGGTTCTGTTGCCGTGGTTGTCACCTCCGCTCTACGTCAAATTTAAGACTCACTTCTTAAGGATGTCTCTATTTTCTGCTTTATTTCCACATTGATAGTTCTGCTTCTCCGCTGGCCACGGCCGCCCTGCGTCTGAGATAGAACTGTGCTAATAAAAGGAAAGGGCTGATCATTAGCAGACAGGCGGGATTCTGATAGCATCTGGCAGATTTTCTCCGTTTTTGTATGCAAGCTTTCATATTTTCACCGTTAAACACGAGGTTTTAAGTTTTTATCTTGATAGTGGTGAAGATCTGTCCCCCCTTTCCCCCTACCCGTCCCCCCTTCTCCTTTTTATTAATCAGCATTTGCATTTGGGAACCTGCTTACTTGTTAGAGATCGTTTCATTGGCAACTCTTATTCCATCCTTTCATCCCAGGTTTCCAAGAATTTTTTTTTTCTTGCTTACTCCTGCATTTGTATCTTTCTGAACATGTTAATTTACACTAGGGATAGGTTTGCTCTGATTGTTATTAACTGAAGGCTATTGAACTACATTTTAAAGCTTCCTAAGGGTTTTTTGGTTTGTCATGTCTGCACGAATCCAGTTATGCATAACTCTTAAAATGTAGAGCTTTAAAATAAGAGCCACAGTTGTGTTGCCAAGACATGGGGAGCTTGCTCTTCAAGTTTTGGCTGCACAGTTGTCATTGTTTCAATCAAGCGCCAACGAGGTTACTCCTGTTTATTTAGCGTAATAGCTGTTTACAGTTAAAACTTTAAAGACTCATAAAAGTAGGTCTGCTGTATTGTACAGATCTCATCATTCTTGTGCGAGAGACACAACACCAACACCAAGAAAGGCAACAGATTGCTTCTGTCATATCGCTTTGCTGTTTTCGAGTGTACTTAAAGGATTATGATTGATAAGGCTGTCTTGCCAGAGAATGTTGACACAGGTGTGCGTCGTTATCTTAATTAAGATCCTGAGAAAATGTTGTCTATAAATGGAGACATAAGAAGGGTGGCATATTTTTGTACAGTTTTGCTTTTGGAGAATTTAATTGCACTTGAAACCTCTCTTTGAGCTTCCAGATTTTGTGAGCAGTTTGGCAACAGAAGTTTTGGAGAGAAATGATAGTTTAATGTTAAGTGTCCCAACATGTGCTAATACAACTTGTGGCCTTTTGGCAATACCTTGAGTCAGTTTTCTTTGTACCCTACCTTTATGGATTAAGGGGATTTAACTTCAAAAGAAAAGCATAAAATAGAGCAGTATATTGTTAAGCAAACATTTATTAATGTTCAGAGTAAATCTGTGTAGAAAGGCACCCTTAATGTGAAGAAACAGAATATATAAATATATGAGAAATGCATGTCACGTAATTTTTATGGAAAAGATGGTAAAACTACTGATCTCAGACAATTTCTTTTGCCTGTCAAGTGCCTAGCTCTGATATTTATGGAATGCTTTGTTTTTATTTTTAAAAATAAAGGGAAACTTGTATTTCTTTCAAAATATTGTTTTGTAAATTTGGATAGATAAGCAAATGCAGATAATACTTTAAGGATCTGAATCATAACCTGGGTCACCACTAAAATAATATTACTGTCTTTTATCCAGAATCTCCAAATTCAAAAACAATGGCAAGACAGATGGATGCTGTTGATTATATTACCTTTGGCTTACCCAGCACTAGTACCCTTTAACATAAGTATCACATTAAGATTTCCCCCCTCTCCCTGTAGCTCATGATTTCCTGGAAGCTGGCTGTCCATCAGTGTGTGTGTAAGATGTGTGTGTATTTTCCTTTAATATTAAAACGCACCGTGGAAAGAGGAAATGAAAGTGGAGCAGACCTTAAGTGGATGATCGGAAAAGCCAGGTGTAGAGTCACAGCTCATTTTTGATTCCAAGAATAATTAGCTGGTTAGAATTACATGGTAAACTAAAATCAAAGGGGAACTTATTTAGATTTGTTTGCTGAGAGTAAAACAAGAGCATTAATTTTGAGATAATTGCTTTATTTATCTTCCAGCCAACCCATCAAAATTTTTTTCTCTGGCAGCCATAATCCCCATCCTTATGTTATTATCTATGTGTTATTTTAAAATTTTATATATTAGGTTAAAAGAGATGAAATTGGAACATAAATTAATTACCTATGCCATTTTCATTTATAATGCCAAATAATTAATATATTTAAACATTTTGGAAAGCTCAAAAAAGTGTTCTTTAGTTGATAAGATGGAAGTAAATGAAATCAGGTAATCCTGAATGAGTTAAACATGTTCTTTGCAATCGGCTATGAATTATGAAATAGCACAGCCTGTTTTGAGGGGTAGTATCTCAATATATTTGTATATTTCTCTTTAACTTCTACAATGTGTTAATATTTGTATTTTTAACATCTTTTGGATATATTTGTTAGCTTTTTCATAAAGAATAATTTTTTTAATAAAATAGCCACTGGGTCAACTCAAATGACATGTAAAATCTAGAATTTTTTTCTTTATTCAATAATAAGAGTGGTTTGCTTTCACAACACTACTCTGAGGTATGATACTGATGACTTATTTCTGCATAAATCTGCCATGTTTTTATAGCTGTAGTATAACTAAACACCAATTTAGCTTAGCAAATTAACTTAGATGCTTCAGAATTGAAAACCAGTATATTCTAATGTCGTTTGAGTTCAAGTCTTTATTAGTAGGGATGCATTTAACATTTGTTCGGATAGGGAATATAATTTTCTCCTGCAGTTGTCATTTATGTAATCCATTTTCCCAGCCTTTTCTTGAGCTAATGATATTCCACACCCAGATACAGCTTTTGTTTACTTGCCATAATATGGAGTGATACCTTAGAGAAAATTAGGTTACATATTCATACTTAATATCCCCAAAGTATTACTAGTCTTCTGTGTCTCCTTAAACAGGATCATTTCTGTTTCTGTGCAGGTGATGCGTTTGATGTTTGTATAATACATTTGGATGTTTTCAGCTAAGTTCACTTCCTAGCTGTGAATTCTTCCAAATGTTGGCTGACATTTGCCCTTGCACATCCCAAGGCTCATCAGCAAGTGAGTGTCTGCGCATGCTGGGTGTGCTGGTGTGTGAAGTAACCCAAAAATAACATTCAGTTTGGCTTTACCAAGACATTTTTATTGGTAATAGGGACTGCATGCAGAATGCTGAAAATGCCACTTGAGGCCTTTGATTATTAAAATTCTATGAATGCATTAAACAAGAATGCAGTAAATAGAAAAATACGCTGAATGATTTATTTATTTTTATTTATCATTTATACTAGAATTACCTTGAACAATTTATTTTAATGCTATCACTGGAGAGTGAAATTTATAAACTCATTTCTTTTCATAAAAATCAAAAGTAAAGTTATGATAATTTATAGAAATAGAATTGTTATTTAAAGTAAATAATATGTTTATACCAAATCAAAGTTTTGGATTATTTTGATTACCTATTTCTTTGAAGAAAAGATTTAGTGAGAATATCAGCTCTATCTATCACGCCAAACTGTTAAAGAGTATACAGGTGTATGCAAAACTTGTCATTTCTTATTAGAATAGGACTGTTAAATATAGGTAGATGAAAACAAACATGAAAAAATTTATTTTGCAGAAAAAGAATTGTCCTCTGTTGTGTAGTGGGCAGAGCAAGGAACTGGACGTAATGATACTGAATGTTCTGTTAAGTAACAAAGATAGTTGTATGACAAAAAAAGCTAATTTTACAGGAGGCAGATATAATTAGTATAGCCTTCAGAAGAGCAAATGCTTCTTTATAGACATTGCAAAGGCATTAAAGCTATTTTTACTGTAATATGAAATGATATTTGTTTATAAATAATATCCTTTAGTCATCCTATTACCAATTGGGACTTAAGAAAATGGAGTTTCATGTACAACTAAGAGCTGAAGCATTATAGCAAATTAGAAAATACACAATACAAATGTAAAGAAACTGTTTAGCTTTGAGCAATCTGATTACTCTTTGTTTATATCTTTAGACTTAGTTTCGTGTTTTGTTTTTAAATCATGTATAGAGTTGTTGAATTGAAAACAACAAAATCCAGCTTTGTGATTTTTTTCTAAGGATAGATATAGGAAATATGTAAACATATGTGCAGATTTGTTAATTTCTCATCTGTCATCAGCCAGATTTATTAAGATTCATATTTCATATCCATTGAAGGTATTCAAATGTATTAAAACTCTGTTCTTTTTATATAAGATAGATGTGTGAGAGTCCCTCGTTCTTTTGAGAATATGAAGAAAACATCCTTTCAACAGTTATGGATCATGGTTGATTAATTGAGAAGGTTGTACTAAATGTTCTCTTGTGGAAATAGCTAAAGAGTATGTTTTTTGAGAAATGTATCATCCAAGAATAAAATCAATTGAAATATTGGTAATTAAATTGTAATTCCATGAAGGAAGAAAGTGGTATGAGAGATGAAGCTAACTATTGGTATTTTTCTCTTTTTAACAGCACACAGTTCATAACAGAGCTACTGTGCTGGTTATTGGAAGGAGGAGATTCAGAAAATAGTGAGGTAATGGTATCTTTTTTAAAAGAGTACTTTTTTCTGTAACCCTTAGCCATTATTACATATAGAACTTCATTCAGTAGGCAGCAATTTCTTTAAATTTGGGATTTGGGGACTACCTTACTTTCCTCTGCTAAGTTGAGTCTGCTTTTCAAGGGCAATGGGCTGTATTTGGAGAGCAGAGAAATATTACTTCAGCATACTCAGCACCCTTAAAATAGCCTCTTTCTGAGAATTAGATCTGTGTTGGTGTCTCACACAGTTCGAGTAGGTGACACTGTAGTTTGTGGTTGACGTATATGTGTTTAACATGCTGTTGAACTGTCCTTATTTCCTTCTCAGTTCTTTGTCATGTTCAATTGGGGAGATGTGTTCTCTTCAGGATGATTTACTACCAGTCACAGCCACGCTCTGAGTGGAAGACCTAGTGGCTGCCACCTGGTTTCACAGCTCTGGCAAGAATTTGACTGGGCCCAGCCTGGGGAATTCTGGTGTACTAGAGCCCAGGAGCTCACACACATGAGTTCTTTCTCTGGTTCAGAGCTGCAGGTCCCTTTCCACTTACGGTGTAATCCTACGCCATGGCTAATATTTTCCTTTTCCACATGCTAGGTTGGCTTGCTACATTACGTACTTTGCAGCTGTTGCAGGGATTCACAGGAAATGGAAGACTCTGCTTTATTCTGGGCAATGTCTTTGATAATTTACCCGTGTGCTTTTGCATTTTCAAAAACCTGTTGTTAGCATTGTAGAAATCTAAGAGTCTTGAAGAACAAAAACTAGGTTCAGTTTGTACCTATTAGAAAAGTTTTTATCTTTTGATGCTTTGTTGCCACAGTAACAATGCAGGTCAAATTATAAACTGGTCTTCATAAAAGGCTAAGTACTTTGTCTAAGAATGTTTATACAGGCTTAAGTTGTGTAACGGTATTTATGTGTTTTCCTTCTAGAAAAGTGATACACTTTTGTAGTCACCAAAAATATCTGCCCCCTGAACTATATCTGGGGAGGAATATTAATAAAACAATGAAGGAGTTCATGGTGTCTAATTATGTAATTAGGCAATTGGTAAGAAATGTGATAACTAAAATTGATTTTTCCATTGAAGGAACTAGTATATATTAAAATCACAGACCTTCAGGAAAACTCTTTAATCTTCAAGTCATATAATGCTTTTGTTTAACTTAACAGGAAGGAGAAATATACCAGTTTGTAGACTCTTCTATTCATGTCTAAACCAAGGGTATAAGCTGCTGAGGAAGACATAAAATGCAGTCTAGAAAACAATAATTGTATCAAATTAACTATTTGGAAATCATTTTACATTTTTAAAACAATCCAGTATTATGACCTTGGGCAACTTTTACACTAGGTATATTTGGGTTATTACTCCAGCTTTCATCGCTCTGTGGTATAGTCTATATGGAATACGAGGGTATTTTCAAATTGACCATTTCTTACTGGTCATCTTAAAATATGCTTCAGTATTACAAATTTGAAACTTAATATGTCTTAATAGAAGGAAAATATAAAATTCAACATCTGGGCAACAGAGACCTTTAGGCCTACTTTTGTCATAAAAGAATAATTTTGACATCTATGACACTTTTTTGTTATTGTTTTATAAGATAAATGATGGATATTCTGCATTCCAAATGTTTTGTTAATTCAAAATTTTATTGTCTGTAAATGGACCTTTAAAATGAGAAGCATATGTTCTTTAGAGAATCTAATTTGAGTCCTGGACTAATTTCCTAAGTATTGGAATACAGAAAGCAGCCTTGATTAATTTAGAACTGTAAAAGGGGCAGGTAAAATTGTTTTCAGTGGAAATTTACTAATGCAGCAACCATTTAAATTAAATGTTTGTTAACATAATAGTGATGGCATTTTCTCCTCCTCCTCCTCCTTGTGGTTTTGTCCAACTAGATGTTGCAGTGGCAGTTGCACTGACTGTTAAGTGTTTAAATGATGACACCATTATGTGAAGTGATTTTGAAATGAGAGATTCCAGCCAAGAATTACATCTGCTCCCATCTCCTTCAAATCATACTCTCTGGCAGTACAGATTATGATTGATTTGTTTGTGACAGATTGCAGGAAACAGTCATTGATTTTTCAATATTTTACCTTAAAATTATTTACAGTTGTAACCATGGGGAGGTATTTCCATGGGCTGTCAGTCCCTGAAAGACTAGGATAATATTCCCTGCTCTCTGACAAGACAAATTACCTGTAATGAGTGCAGTAGCTGAAGGGTATACTTTTATTTTAAAATATGTCAATAACCCCGGTGACTAAACGAATATTGATTTAGCATAATGAAGCCTGAGTAATGTGAAAATGAGCTTTTTCAAGGGACATGGTAAAGACTTTCTTTTTAGCTGGTTGTAAGAAGCTTCTCATTCTTTTTAGCTAGCTGGTAGAAATACAGAATTTTGTAAGCAAGCCATCAGGACTGATAGTAGTGTCACTTGTGATAACCAAGGGACCAAATATTTTACCCTTGTTTTAACAATTCTTTTTAAATCTTATTTTGAGCCTTAATTTTAGTCATAGAATAACTACTGATTTGTTTGATGTTATCTTGACACGACTTAATGTCTTTGTAATTTTAATATATTTTGCTTTGGAACTGCTGGTAATGAATATTAAAATATAACTATATATACAGTGGTATGTAGATGACCATAATTATATTAAGACATTTCAAGTGGGTTATTGTTGTATTTAATGTGTCATATTTTATAGTAGACTAACTCTCAGTTTCTGGACATTGGATTGCTTTCCGTGGAAATGAAGATTAATTTACTTAAGTCCTCATTTTTTAGGCATCAGCGCCTGTTTTCATTTTTTTCAGACTTTTCTTCCCTTTTTTAATGGATTTAAGATTCTGTTACATAAAATCCTTCAAACAAGAATCATAGTAAGAAGTGTGTACTGTATGTTTACGTGTGCAGGTATATGAAGATTTTATGTCTGAGTATCTCCATACTTACTCAGGGGTAAACACTGCTGGTAATATATAGCAGAAAAATATTTAAACATGATGTCAAATTGATATTTCATGGGAACCTAACTCATTTTATGGTAACTAATAGTCATAAAATCATTAAAATCATTAGGTGAAATCCCCTTAGAAATTAAAAATTAGTTATGATTTAAAGGAAATTCAGATGGTTCTTTGTGAGTACTAGCTCTCTTATAGGAGCGCATTCAAAATGTTGATGTAAAATGGAAATATATCTTTTAATGGAAGAAAGGGTAGATTCTAGAACACAAAATTATTGTTTTATATTTTTCCCAGGAATTTGCCTAAGCATATGACATAGATGATCTTTGTCACTTATCTTGTTCTGTCCTACAATAAACTGAGTGCTTTATAAAATGCTGCACCTATGATTTCATATGCTGTAGGATTTTCTTTCTCCATTATCACCTGCTCCCCCAATTCTTTCTTTTTCTTTAAAAGGACCTTTGAAATATAGAAATATGAAGGATATGACATTATCATATGTGAATCTGTTAGTACAAATTCTTCAATCGTTAATTTGGTTTATAGCCATATAGCCATATTATAGCCATAGAATTACTTACATCATCCAGAAAAAATAGATTGTTTTTCTTTTGTAGACTTTCAAATACAGCCTGTTTTCTTCAGACAAATCTATGCTAAGAAAAAACACCTATATTGTTTAGTTTATTTTGAAAAAAACTAAAAACTATACTGTAGTTTCTACCTCATGACTCTATCATTTAGTTTGAACCTATGTGTTCATTTTATAGAACATGAGAGCTATTCATGCGAATTAAATTTAAGAAATATGTAGATAAGTAAAGCTTTTTTTGGAAAAATTATTCTCTTTCTCATACTATGCCTATCTCTATTCTTTTCTTCTCTAAAAATAAATTTACCCTGCCGTATTTTTTTTTTAGGGGAAAATCTCTTCATATAAAATATTTTTAAATTACACAAGTCATTGCCTGGGGTTGTTTAAAACACTTGTTTTTGAAAAGGAGAAATAGCTTTTAATATCTTTCTTATACTAAGATAAACAGTTTACTTGGATATGGTACATACCAATCTACTTAGTTAATTTTTTTCAGAATTCATTTTACTGTGACTCATCTGACCTTCTGTGATAACTTAATATAGCAACAAATTAGCATATAATTTTATTTTCCATGTGACCTCAACCAGTTGTAAAATTGTACCTCCACTTTTGGGGAGCAATTTGATAGTTTCTGTAGACCATACATTAAGTGTTTGCAAATGTTCAGTGGATCCCGGTTAACATTTTTGTTATCAACAGTGTTTTAAAGTAAGCAGTTAGAAGAAACACTTCACCCTATTACTAAGTTACTAAAACGTCTCCTAAAGGTAGCATTTGTAATTAGTGTACATAATTGATTAGTGATTTGTCTTCTCTCAGGCATAAAACAGCATGGCAAAGTTAGGTATAATTAGTGAAGTGTAAGATAGTAGGGACTGACGGTGACAGTGACCATGACCGCTAAATGGATTTCTTTTTCTTTTAGAAAAAAGCCATTGGTCTCTGACATTTCCTGAGATCTGTTTCAATCTAGATATAAAGAATGTGGAAAAATTAAGTGCTCAAGTGATTTAAACATGTTTTGGATGGCCTGTATACAGTGTATTTCCAATTTAAATCCTCAGTTGTCAGGCAGAAGAAGGTTAAGCTCTTCTTGATCACCAATTTCATTGAAAATTTTTATTACTATAGAGTATGACTGAATATTTTCTGTTTTAACCAAAGTATAGGAAAAATGAAATAAATTATGTTGACTCTTTTTCTAAAAAGTCTTTATTGGATTGATACATACTAGTCCTTGAAAAAGAGAGTTGAAAACTCTTTTTATCATAATAATCCTTTGAGCAATCAAATATCTCTAGAGTAGCTTTAAAAGTCACTTTTTAAATTCTTATTTTTATTAATGTTTTCAGTATATAATAATTATATTCACCATGGGAAGTTGGTACATGT